AGGAGGGGCAGGGGAAGAAGGCGAGGAGGTACCAGAAGTGGAAGTGAGGCGAGCAGAAGCCATGCCTGCTGACCATGAGGGCCGAAGCTTAGAGGCTGCTGAAGCTGCTGCTGCCGCCGCGGCTGGTGCAGCAGGAGTGGGAGAAGGGAAGGGGTATGTGCCAGGCACACCACGGGCTCATGTGGCGGAGGAGGGGGAGGGGAGGATGGGGGAAGGGGAGGGTGGGGAGGCGGGGCGCATGGGCGGGATGGTTACCCCTGGCGGGTCTATGGGTTTCGCCACGCCCTCTGTGGGCATTCCAGGTGAGACAATGGGGGGAAGGTGAGGGGGTTTGGGTTCTAAGGCGCCTCAAAGAAAGGCGGGCGTATGGGTGGGATGGTTACTCCTGGTGTGTCTATGGGGTTCACCACGCCCTCTGTGGGCATTCCAGGTGAGACAATGGAGAAAAGGATGCTTTGAATTTAGCGGCGCTGCTGGGTTGTGGGGGCTGTGGGGGCGGGGCGGGAATGCTATGCTGGGGGGTGTGTAAGAGGGTGGTGTGACGCTCACCGGTTGGTGTTATGTGGAAGACGCGAGAGGGTTGGAGTGCTAGAGGGTATCGTGATGCTCAATCGTTGCTGTTAATGTCACTGGTATCGGCATTGGTGTCGGTATTGAGACTTCATACCAACAAATGGCATCTGCTGTTCACCTCTTCACGCTCCCCGGATGCCCTGGCTTATGCCTGCCCTCTAACCCCCACCCCCCCACCCCCCACTCCCCTACCGCCCCACTGTCCCACGGTCCCCAGCCATCCCCACGCCAGACTTTGCCCTCGCACCCACGCCCACACCCACACCTGCACCCGCACCCGCGCATGAGGAGGACCGGGCCGGGCCTGAAGACCACGTTGCAGCTGCCGAGCCTGCGGATGATGCTCGGGCGGGGCTGCCCCCAAGGCCGCCGAAGCGAGGGCAGGCAAAGAGGAAGCGAGGGGCAGCAGCAGGAGGGGATGGTGCGGGGACAGTCTTAGACTCGCTCACTGTGCTGCCCTCTGAGTACGCTCTTCTCTCTTCCCTTCTTCCTACTCCTTTCTCTATCACAATCACTGTTGTTCGCTCTCTCTGAGTGCTGTCCTCTGAGTACGCTCTTCTCTCTTCCTTTCTCTTCCTTTCTCTTCCTTCTGTCACAATCACTGTTGCTCCATTTCTCTGTGTGTCGGTCTTTGAAGTTTCACACAACAGTCTTGGACTCGCTCACTGTGCTGCTCTCTCAGTACGCTTTTCCCTCCTCTCCCTCCTCTCACTCCTCTCCGTCCTCTCCTTCCTCTCCCCTCCTCTGCTCCTCTCTCCCCTCGCTACCCCTCCCTTTCGTTTGCCCCCCTTTGTTGCCGTCCCCTCTCCCCACTCCCCCCCACCAGCACCATCCGCCAGCAGCTCATCTCCCCGGACGACCTTGTGAGGAAGCGCCACAGGGCCCCGCACACACCGGTACAGCTGACAGCGCTGCATTGGTCCGTGGCGGGCGTGGAGGGATTGCAAGAGCCGGCTGTAGCTCAGGCTGTTGCTCCGGCTGTAGCAGGGGTAACAGATGGAGTGGTGGCAGATGGAATGGCCTATGCGTTTGCAGCAGATGGGTTTGCACGTGGTGTGGCAGCAGTTGTAGCAGGGGTGGGAGATGGGGGAGTGTCCGCTACAGCTGCTGCCGAGGGGGAGGAAGGGGTAGGTTTGGGGTCGTTTCTGGCTCGGTTCTTTTCCGAGGCTCCGCCGAGCCTGCCGAGGAGGCCTGGAGAAAGGGAGACAGGGAGGAAGAGGGGGAGGGAGGAGAGGGTGGAAGGTGAGGGAGAAGAGGGGAGGGAGGAGGGTATAGGTGTGGGGAGAGACGAGGAGGAGGAGAGGGTGGAAAGGAGAAGAGGGGAAGACGAGGTGGAGAGGGAGGGAGATGTTGAAGCAGGTGCAGGGAGGGAAGAGGAGGCAGGGGCGGGGAGGGAGGAGGTAGAGGTGGAGGAGGAGGTGGAGGAGGTGAGGGGGCAGGTGGAAGGGGAAAGGCCAGCAACACATGGGGAGGGAGTGACTGATGAGATTCGCGAGGCTGGTCCGGAGACTGCTGCAGAGCCTGCTGCAGATCATGGTACAGGCGCCGCTGCTACAGGCGCCGCTGCTACAGGCGACGCTGCTACAGGCTCTCCTGCTGAGGTTGCTCCTGATGGAGAAGAGGGGCCGGGCTGGGTGCTGCGCCCTCACGTCACCCAGGACAGTGCTGCTGCTGGGTTGGAGGGTATGCCTGCTGTGCCTCCCACGCCCTTCACCCCCGGCTCTCCTGCCGCTCCTCTCTCCCCCGTCGCTCCTCCCTCTCCTGCTGCAAGTGGCGAGGGGGTAGCAGCAGGCGCAGAGGCAGAGGCAGAGGCAGCAAGAGGTGCAGAAACAGCAGCAGGAGGGGCAGAGGCAGGCGCAGAGGCAGCGCCTGAGCCCTTTCCTGCTGCTGGCGTGACACCGTCCACAGAGCCCTACTTCCCCCCAATGGATGCTGGGCTCATGGAAGGCCCTGAGGAGGAGGGGGCATCTGAGGAGGAACGGGAGGGCAGCAGAGGAGAGGCAGTGGCAGAGGAGAGGGGGAGGGGGGCAGCGGAGGGGAGGGGGAGAGAGGCCACTCTAGCAGCCGTGAGTGATGCTCTAGTTATGTGTTGTCTTTGTTCAGGCTTGTTAGCTTTTCAATGGTTGGGTTAGAGTTCCCTTTCCGTTTTTCAAGGGCTGTCCTGTGCTTGCATTGGCATTTTCTCGTTCCGTTCTTTGAGTTTCCAAGTTGTGCTAGCTGGTGGTTCAAATTTGGATTGGCGGATGTTTGACATTGTGTTTTTTTCTTCCCTCCTTCCTTTCTTCTCCCCCACGTTGTGTATGCAGCTGCATGTGTCAGAAGAGAGCTTCTACTTCCTCAGAGACGGAGGCGACAAAGGTGAGCGGTGTTGAGCGGTGATGAGCGGTGGTGAGAGGTTATGAGCAATGGTGAGGTGTGGAGATGGGTTGAGCTGTAGTGAATGGGGGTTTGATTGTGTGTGTGTTTGTGAGCTCTTTCCCTCCTATCCTCACTTGTTCCTCCTTCCCACGCCTTAGCACCCTCTCAACACCCTCACCACCCACCCACCTACCCCCGCACCTGCAGAGGTGGACGAGTGGGACCCGTTGGGATCAGGCAAGCGCAAGCCAGCAGCAGCAGAGGGGCCCACTGATGACTTCGCCAGCTGGAGCTGGCGCACCAGGTGGGCAGGGGTGGGGAGGGGTGGGGAGGGGTGGGGAAGGCAGGAAGTGAGGGGTTGTTGGTAGGCTAAGGAAGTGGGGTTGGGGGCTTAAGGAATTCCTTCAATTCTGAGTTTGGGGTGAAGGGGTGGTGGGGTTGGATGTGAAAGGATCTGACAGATGGGGACATTTGCTACCCCCCCTGTCATTACTTCCCTCCCTGCTAACCCCTCCCTTCCCATACCCTCCCTTCCCTGCGTCCACCCCAGAGGAGCTGCGAAGTTTCTGCAGCACTCGTTGACTGCTCTGGCGGAGCAGCAGGCACTGGCAGGCGATGGAAGGGGAGCAGCAGGAGCAAGAGGAGGAGGAGCAGTGGGGACGGAGGAATCGGCGGGGCTGGAGTCGGCGCAATCGCAGCCGTCGGTGTCGCTGCTGGCGGTGGTGAAGGGACGGCCGAGACGAGAGGCTGCTCGGATGTTCTTTGAGACCCTCGTAAGTGCATGGCATAGGGCAAGCAGGTTCATGCATGGGCAGGTGCTCAAACCTATTCCTGTACGTTGCCCTTGCCCTGTGCTCTCACTGGCCTGAACCTGAACTTCCTTCAACCATAAATGGGCCTATACTCTGGTACCATGAACTCTGTGTGAAACTCCTATGCACCAGGTATTGAAGACGAGGGACTTCATTCAAGTGCAGCAGACAGAGCCCTATGGTGACATCAGCATCACAGCGCAGACGCCCCTCATGCAAGCCGCCCTCTGATGGAGATCCGCTCGCAGTTGTGACATGGTACCCTGCTGACCACACTAACCTCTGGTTTGCTCTGTGACCACCGCCCACCCATTGGCTAGGTGGGCAATAGCTAGTACTGAACAGCAGCTAGGGATGAGCCACTAGTAGGCTTTAGCTGTGAACCAAAGGAGCTGAGTTTGCCTTCGTAGGCTTGTTAAGGGGTCCACAATGCACGTTTCCGATGTTAGCTATGCTTCCTGACTAGACACACAGGTGTGTGTTTCTCCATATTTTGAAAGTATAGTTTTTTTCAATTAAAAACAATATTGAATAAGATCACTCTGGATTGCGTTTTTCACCGGGTGTATGCTATCTCGAAATTCCATTTCTTGCCACATCAGCCTCTGACCATTTTCTCGGGGCGTCCACATCAGCAAGCCGTGATTGCGTTACCAATCCCAAGGTGCAGCTCCCCAGTCCGGGCATCGGATTCGCCGCGAGCCGAGCCGAGAGGATAACAGCGGGAGCAGCGAAGGGGGAGGGGAGATTGTGGAAGGACAAGGCTTGGGATGGGAGAGCTAGTCAAGAGCTTCGTGCACGTTCCCAAGAAAGCTTATTTCTGGCAACCAGTGTCGTTGCTTTCCGTTTCACTTGCCTCATTCTCTGCGAAACGAGAGCGTTTTGCGTGCAGCAGCAACGCGAAGCAGCCACTTTGCTTGTGGCTTTTTGCTTGCTTATCTAGGACGTTTGCTTGACTGATTGCGGTGTAACTTCGCCGCTGCTACCATGGCGTCCGTCGCTCAACGAGCAGCAGTTGCTGCCAGCTCAGTCTCTCAAATTGCCTCGTCAGCACGCAATGCCTCGTCCAGGCCTAACGCGACCTGCCGCGTGGCGTCCCCTCGCGTCCACCTCGGATCAGATTTCGTCTCAAAATCCGCATCTTCCGCCTTCCAAGGCGTTAGAATCACACTCGCTAAGAGCCAATCCAGCCGCAATTCCCGCTCCGCATCTCGCGCCGTGGTCGTCGCGGCGGGCGGTTCCTCGAAACTTCCGTTGATGAACGAACTCCCGTTACTGAGTTACATCAACCAGCAGGGCCGCATAGTCCCTCCCGTCGACCCGGGAACCACGGCTTCTGTGTTCGCTGTACTCGATAAGAACAAGAAAGTGCAGTATATCGGGTTCTCCAAGGACGTGCGAAACTCGCTGCGAACGCTTATGGGACGGCGCCCCGAGTTCTGCTACTATTACAAGCTCTACAACCTGTCGACCATGGACCAGCAGCAAATGATCGACATCCGCGCGCATGTACGGATAATGAGGATGCTTATAACGGATCGTCGGGCAATTATGAGTTTTTATACGGGCCAGGTTTGCCGTCCGTTCTGCTGTGCAGCTATATTTTCTCCTTGAGTCACCCCAATTCCTGGCTCCCTTTTCTTCCCAACCATCATTTCCAAGATTAGTCGCACTCCACATAAGAAACTCTCCTTCAATCCAATTTCCGTCCGCCTGTTGGAAACACAGGTGTCGTGCAGAGTGGGCTGTGTGAGCAACCAGCATATGCGGGTTTGATTCCGGAGAAAGTGACGACGACTAAGAAGCACTGAATATCCCCTATATTGTGCTCTTCCTTATTCCTACTGTCTTCCCACTCTTTCCACATGCTACAGTGGTTCTCGGAGATGGGACTTCCGCCGGTGGGCAACACGGACCCGATCCAGAGGGGGTACTGGGAGCGGCCGGCGGACGCGGGGTCGATCTCGGAGAGAGGCAAGGTGGCGGCTGCGCAGTCCAAGGCGAAGACGCTGCTGCAGATGATGGCGGACCGCGGCCTCAAGGAGGAGGTGAGCTGACGTGACTGTAACGAGTGTGTTTGTTTGAGAAACGAGTGTGATTGTAGTAAACAGGTCGTTGTGTGAGGCAAGGTGGCGGCGGCGCAGTCCAAGGCGAAGACGCTGCTGCAGATGATGGTGGACCGCGGCCTCAAGGAGGAGGTGGGTTGAGTCGAATGTGACTGTAACAAGTGGGTTTGAGGTGTGGTGTGATTGTAATAAAGGGTGTATGCGAGGCAAAGTGGCGGCGGCGCAGTCCAAGTCGAAGACGCTGCTGCAGATGATGGTGGACTGCGGCCTCAAGGAGGAGGTGAGCGGAATGTGACTATAATTAGGGTGTTTGAGCTGTGGGTGTGAATGTAACGAAGGGGGGTTATGTGAGGCAAGGTGGCTGCGGCGTATCCAAAGCGAAGACGCTGCTGCAGATGATGGTGGACCGCGACCTCAAGGAGGAGGTGAGTGGAATTGAATGTGACTGTAATGAGGGTGTTGATGAAAATGAGTAATGTTACAGCAACGAGAAATTCAGCAAGTCGCGTGAACGTGCGGTGCGGGGCGGTGCGATTCGGTGCGACGACAGAGGGCGCTAGATGCTGGATTCGCGCTTGATGATGCAAGGGGGAAGTGAGCTAACGTGATGGAAGCGGAGGAGCGTGAAAGCGTATTAGAAAGACGAGGGTTCGTGACATCGCTAAAGTACGGACCCTCTCTATGGTGTGAAAACAGGTAGCATATCTAGCATAGAGGACGGGTGAAGGTACAAGTAGCCCTCACGTGCCGGGCAGAGCGTTTTTTTTTTTTTTTTGCACTAGGAGAGGAGTCAGTATGGGCTGAGAGTAAGTTTCACTTCTCGGTCAGCTTTCACCGTGCGTTTACTGATTGATTGCTGCTCGTTCTCCATTCGTTCGCTGCTCGTTCACGGTTGGTTGACTGCTGGTCGGCTGCTGGTTGACTGTCAATTGGCTGTTGGTTGACTGTTGATTGGCTGCTGATTGCCTGTCCTTGTCCATTTTGTCCGCCGCCTGCAGATGGAGTATGACCCGAAGCTCATTGAGGAGGGCAAGTGCGACGTGCTGGCTGACTGTCAATTGACTGTTGGTTTACTGTTTCACTGACTGTCTTAGTGCCTGTCCGTGTCCATTCTGTCTCCTGCTGTGCAGATGGAGTATGACCCGAAGCTCATTGAGGAGGGCAAGTGCGACGTGCTGCCGGTATGCCTCCTCGCTCGCACTCACTCTCACCCACTTACTCACCTACACTCCCCCTCACCCACTCATTCACTCTCACTCTCACTCGCCCTCTCACTCACAACCTCACTACACTCACTCACTCACACGCTCGTCCTCACTCCTGCATGACTAAGGGCTGGCTACCCGCACCACTGCCTGTCGCCGCCGCTTTCAAACGAGTCTAGCCACCTCCAATGGCCTCACCTCCATTCCTCACCTGAATTCCGTCCCTTGCCAGTCCTTGCACGCAGTTCTCCATTGCACCCAGTTCTCAATCCTTTCAATGGTATACGTCTCCATGCGAACCCTCCCTCCTTCCCCCCGCCCCTTCTCCCTTCTCTCTTCCTTGCACCCAGTTCTCAATCCTTTAAATGGTATACGTCTTTATGCAACCCCTCCCTCCTTCCCCCGTTTCCCTGTATCATTCCCCTCCCCTTCCCCCTTCCACCCTCCCCCTCCCACCACCAGTCCAAGTCGCAGTCAGCAGAGGAGCTGGCGGCGGCAGCAGCGGAGCAGGAGGCGTCAGCAGCGCGGGTGGTGCGCATCACAGAGACAGCGCCGTCAGGCGAGGTGATCGAGTTCGACCTGGAGACGGACGACAAGATCAAGACGAACGGCGGGTGGATGTACGACATCTACGTCACCAAGGACGACAAGGAGACGCGCCACCGCATCGTGCTGGGGCGGGTTTATTCCGAGGCCGTCAACCTGCCAGAGGATGCTGTCATTGCCAGGATCATTGCGTTCCTCCTGGTGAGTGCTTGGTGCTGGTGGGGCCTTTGTTCTCGTTGGTTGGAACTTGGAGTGTTTGGATAGAGTTTGATCAACGGCGGGTGGATGTACGACATCTACGTCACCAAGGACGACAAGGAGACGCGCCACCGCATCGTGCTGGGGAGGGTGTACTCCGAGGCCGTGAACCTGCCCGAGGATGATGTGATCGCCAGGGTCATCGCCTTCCTGCTGGTGAGTCCTCGGTGCTGCTACCCTGTTTCCTCTGTGACGTTCTAGAAGTTGGTGATGGGAAGAGAGGGTGTACTCGTCAATCTGCCTGAAGATGATGTGATCGCCAGGGTCATCGCCTTCCTGCTGGTGAGTCCTCGGTGCTGCTACCCTGTTTCCTCTGTGACGTTCTAGAAGTTGGTGCTGGGAAGAGAGGGTGTACTCGTCAATCTGCCTGAGGATGATGTGATCGCCAGGGTCATCGCCTTCCTGCTGGTGAGTTGCGCCTCTGAAGCTCTAGAGAGTGGTGCTGGGAAGGGAGAGGGTATGCAGAGGCCGTTAACCTGCCAGAGGATGCTGTCATTTCCGGGATCATCGTCTTCCTCCTGGTGAGTCTTAATTGCTCTCGGAAGTGTCTAGAGTTTGCTATCAAGCGTGCAGTTCCCTCCCACCCACCTCCCCTCGCTCTCACTTCAGCACAAGCGCATCCCTCGGCTGACTTTCGGAGTACTATCCAGTGACCGGGTTCCCTTATTTACTGGCAATTACCCTGATTCCACTTCCCCCTCGTCAACTTACCCTTTCCCCCACCTCCCCTCCCTCCCACCAGTACAAGCGCATCCCGCGGCAGACGGAGGGGGTGCTATCCAGCGAGCAGTTCCCCATCAACTACTTTGCAGTCTCAGAAGTGGCGCAGAAGTTTGAGGACCTCGGCGAGTGGTTCTCCGGGGGAGACCTGCCGGACAGCTACTGGCGCTTCAACCGTATCCACGAGTACGGCAATGTCACCGCGCCTGTTTCCACACAGGAGGCGCCGCAGCTTTACTCGCCAAAGTATTGATTCGACTGAGTGTTGCTGGGTGCGAAGTGGTTTAGGGTGGTGGGAACCCACTTATCAATTTGACCAGAATTAGCTATCAATGTTTACCTTTTCAAATAAGGAAATCGAACTACAGTATATTTCAGATACGGTATTTGCACTCGAATCTTCTCGGAGTTGCGACCTGCCCGACAGCTACTGGCGCTTCAACCGCATCCACGAGTACGGCAATGTCACCGCGCCTGTTTCCACACAGGAGGCGCCGCAGCTTTACTCGCCAAAGTATTGATTCGACTGAGTGTTGCTGGGTGCGAAGTGGTTTAGGGTGGTGGGTACCCACTTATCAATTTGACCAGAATTGGCTATCAGTGTTTACCTTTTTTCGAATAAGAAAATCGAACTACAGTACATTTTAGATACGGTATTTGCACTCGAATCTTCTCGGAGTGCGTTCTGCCCGACAGCTGCTGTACCAGGGCAAATTTGATCAGTGTAAATCACCCTGATACCCTGATTATCAGGGTGGTTTTTGGTAGTCACACTGATGGCCTAGGGTAATTTTTTCGGGAGTTAGAATTTTCCTGATATGCCAGGGTTTACATTTAAGGCACACTGATGACTCAGGGTTACCTATTTCATAACGGGTTTTACCCTGAAGCGAGTACCCCCCCCCCCCTCACCCCCCCCCCCCTAACTTCCCCCTAACCCGCTCCCCCCCAATTCGCCCTCGCACTTCTGTCCCGCTAAGTAGTAAAAGTTTATTTAAACCAACCTACTGAATTACTCACGCTGGAGTGGCCCAGTCGGTAGATTGGAATTCGTAAGGATGAAGACTCGGGATCGAATCTTGTAGTCCTCGTTTTTGTTTAGAACTTCAGTAGAAAAACTTCATCAGGGTATTGAAAATTGTTACACTGTGGCATAAGGGTAAAATTTTTGAAACTATGGAAAACCCTGATGGAAAAGAATTTTCCCAAGGGGTCACACTGATAATCAGGGTTTTGCTAAGGTGCAGGACTGATGATAAGGGTTGCTTGAAACCAAAAATTAGCCCTGTGCTGTACTCACTACAATTTATATATTCGATGTAGGAGCGCCGCTCGGCGCTAAGTGGGGATTCAAATGTGGTACAGCCTCGTTTCGTTTAGTCCAAACGGCCCGGTCATCACAGATGCCGGGTACGGTGGTAATACTTTAGACAGATGGGAGCTAATGCATTCCAGAAACGGTAATACCGTACATGTTATCACAAAGCGGCACCACTTCAATATTCCACCTTGCTCTATCTGTATGTGCGAATTGCTGTTCCATATACAGCCCTGCGAGGTGATAAAGCCCTAAAACACATCATGCATGATACGATAACGCCATCATGCTCTAGAAATGTACGGCAACGTTCTTCTCGATTTATGGCTTCAAACAAAAAATAACGTCAAGTTCTCGCTGATGCAGCTGCTCTGGAGACGTCAATACAGAATCGCTTGAAAGCGACAGTTTCATCTTCCAGGAACGAGCTTCAGGAGGACACAAGGAGCACGCGGAGAGGGAGAGAGCAAGGAGGCACAGTGAGCACAGAGAAATGCAATCAACACTAAGCACCCACCAAGCACCCACCAAATACCCACCAAGCACCCACCAAATACCCACCAAGCACCCACCAAATACCCACCAAGCACCCACCAAATACCCACCAAGCACCCACCAAATACCCACCAAGCACCCACCAAATACCCACCAAGCACCCACCAAATACCCACCAAGCACCCACCAAATACCCACCAAGCACCCACCAAATACCCACCACGCACCCAGCACGCACCCAGCAAGCACCCACCAAGCACCCACGGAGCACCCATCAAACACACCCTTTCCCTCCACTCACCCGAGGCGCTGCGCCATCTGAGCAGGAGACCAGCGGGGGCTCCAAGGGAAGCTGCTGATTGGCTCCGACGCCACGGGGCGGTTGTGTGCGGTGAAGTGCTGTGGGTTGCGGTGTGGTTGGGTACAAGGCGGGGGCGTTGGGATGGGGGAACAAGGATGGGGCATTGGGATCGGGGAACAAGGATGGGGCATTGGGATCGGGGAACAAGGATGGGGCATTGGGATCGGGGAACAAGGATGGGGCATTGGGATCGGGGAACAAGGATGGGGCATTGGGATCGGGGAACAAGGATGGGGGAACAAGGATAAGGCAATAGGATGGGGGGCATTCGGATGGGGCATTGGGATGGGGGGCATTGGGATGGGGGGCATTCGGATGGGGCATTGGGATGGGGCATTGGGATGGGGGGCATTGGGATGGGGGGCATTGGGATGGGGGGCATTGGGATGGGGGGCATTGGGATGGGGGGCATTGGGATGGGGGGCATTGGGATGGGGGGCATTGGGATGGGGGGCATTGGGATGGGGGGCATTGGGATGGGGGGCATTGGGATGGAACGATATTACACAAACATAACATGTTGCTTACATGAATGGATTGCAGAGTGATGGAGGGCTGCTGCTGTGGGAAGGATGGCGGCAGGGCAACACGCACCTGCGGTGAGAGGGACGAGGGGTGAGATGGACGAGGGGTAGGAGGGACGAGGGGTGGGAGGGACGAGGGGTGAGAGGGACGAGGGGTGAGAGGGACGAGGGGTGAGAAATGAGGTTAGAGGGATGGGGGAGAGACAGAGGGACGGAAAACGTGTGTGAGGAGGGGGAGGTGATTGGGGTGGAAGGGCAAGACAGCAAGAGGATACCATGGCACACAAGGCGGTGCTGCTGGCAACCCTGCATTTATCTACGCATGTTTGTAGTGCAGCAGGGAGTGTGAGAGAGCATGGGTGAGGGGCACGTGGCAGGCACATGCAGGTGGTGTGAGGGGCACGTGGCAGGCACATGCAGGTGGTGTGAGGGGCCCGTGGCAGGCACATGCAGGTGGTGTGAGAGGCACGTGGCAGGCACATGCAGGTCGTGTGAGGGGCACGTGACAGGCACATGCAGGTGGTGTGAGGGGCACGTGGCAGGCAGGTGGTGTGAGGTGCACGTGGCAGGCACATGCAGGGAGTGTGAGGGGCACGCACCAGACACATGCAGCTGTTGGCGGACACAAAGAATGTGGTCTGGGAGAATAGTTGCTGCCGGTATGATGGGATGAGATGAGAGGATCAATACAGGGGAAGGGGGATTGGGAGAAGGGGAAAGGGGAATGATTGAGGAGAATGAATTAGGGGAAAGGGAATGAGGCAAGCGGGGAAGTGAGGAAGTTATGTGCTCTTTCATGCAGGCAGCATCCTTACGTGCAGCATGAGAGGCACTCACCGTGTCAGTTTCTAAAGGTTGCCCGAATACCGCGGGCAGGGCAGAAATAAATTCCGCCCGGCTTTGCATGGAAGAGACAGCATTATCAAGCTGTGGCGGAGGGATAGAAAGACAGTCAGAAAAAACAAATCAGTAAAAGGTAGGTAGGAGACAAAGCGATTTACATGCGGGGATAGCTCAGTTGGGAGAGCGTCAGACTGAAGATCTGAAGGTCGCGTGTTCGATCCACGCTCACCGCACTTATCATTTTCGTTTCTCATTTAGAAACGACACACTTCTTCTGGACAGATCCCAACAGATGGATTTCTTGAAAGAATAATAGGTATTTTTACTCAGCCTTGCACATTTCAACAGCCTTTGCTGAAAAGTGAGAAAAGAGTGAAAGCAGGTGGAGTGTGGTGAAGAGAGATGGAATACGGTGTGACTCACTCGCTGATGGATGAATGCAGCAAGCTCAGGCAGATACACAACTGTGCACCTGAGGCAAGGTGTGGAATGCGGTGTGGTGCGAATATGTGCGGTGAGGTATTTGGTGAGCTGGAAAACGACAGTAACGAGCATGTGCGAGCAGAGCAGCGTAGCAACCAGCAACACAGGGCATGGCAGGCAAAGCAGAGACACGTGCAGAAAATTGAGGCACATTTTCGCATATAACGACAAGCCAACGAATGTGTAGAAACCAGAATATAGCCTCCATGTGGAGGCGGTCCGAGGAGGTGACTTTTGACTCGACTTAAAAGGCACCTCGTTACAATGTCACCTCGTCACAATGGCACCTCGTCACAATGGCTCCTCGTTACAAGGGCACCTCGTTGCAATGGCACCTAAATACAATGGCATGGCACACGACGGTCACTCACATGGTGTCCGTCCAAGCAAGCAAGCAGCTTGGTTTCTGGCTAGCCGAGGAGGTGACATTTAGGTTGACTTAGAGTCACCTCACAACAGTCACCTTGTGACTTAGTCACCTCACAACAGTCACCTTGTGACTTAGTCACCTCACAACAGTCACCTTGCTACAATGGCACACAGCAGTCTCTCACTCACATGGTGTCGGTCCAAGCAAGCAGCTTGGTCTCTGGTAAGCCGAGGAGGTGATTTTCTAATTGACTTAGAGTCACCTCGCAACAGTCACCTTGCTACAATGGCACACAGCAGTCACCTTGCTACATTACAATGGCTCGCAGCAGTCTGTCACTCACATGGTGTCCGTCCCTCCAAGCAAGCAGCTTGGTCTCTGGCAAGCCGAGGAGGTGATTTTCTAATTCACTTGACATATTACCCCGTTGCAATAGCGAACGACCGTCTCTCACTCACATGGTGTCGGTCCAGGCAGGCAGCTTGGTTTCTGGAAAGCCGAGGAGGGAGAGGAGGAGCGGCGGGCCTCCTAGCTTCAACTGGGGCCGAGTGAGAGAAGAGAGGGCGTTGGGAAGCAGGAAAGAGGAACGAGAGGGAGAGGGAAGAGGAGGTTATTGCAAGAGTTGAGGCCCCTCAGAAGAGTTGAAGCAAGTTATTGCAAGTGCTGGCTCCATTCTGTCCGGTAGGCTTTTGAGGTGCCTCAAAAGAGGTAGAGAGGGTACTGCGTATAAGAAAGTATGTCATCAAGCTTTCATCACTCCACTCACTCATTCATTCTCTCAACTAACTACTCACTCACTGTCTCAACTCCCTCGGATTGCTCACTCTCAACTAACCACTCACTCACTCCCTCACTCACC